TTGGTTCAATGCCATTAAAGATGCAATAGACACTTAGCGTGAGTATTATAAATATACTCGAATTGCCCTAGCTTCCACTAAGACCGTGATATAAACCTAAAATTTCTTTTCATGCGTAACTAGGCACCCCTCAGTATATGCATAAAGTTTCAGCTCAATATGATTTCTTATGAATGAAAAGATTGTCCAGTTGATTAACAGTCATGAGTTTCTTATTCTTTCTATTCGTTGTTTTACCTTTCGATGAAATTGCTTTTCCAAATACAATAAACATTAATAAACTTGAAAAATAGAATATATATCACTTGAAAATTTACAGAAAAAAAATATTATGTCAGTTACTTAGCAGAGTATTATTAGAGCACCAGTTGCCAGAAAACATTTTAGAAATCGAAACTAGAACTGTTTGTTTTCGATTTTACCATCCTGAGCCATTAGTCTCTAATGAAAAGTTCTTTTTTTCATGATTGTTTTTAATAAATAATATTAACAGTTTGTTTATTAAGAAGAATTAAAGTTAATTATGTGAAGAAATAAATGTTGAGTAAAACATGATTCCAACACAACAAAAATAATTTCATTACGAAGCCTTTTCCTTTTTTGAAAATCATTTTTTTATATTTTTTCTGTACAATTATAGTTTGATTATAAAATTGTAAAGAAAGCTTCAAGTTTAATGAAACATTCTAGTTGTATAAGACTATTCAATTTATAAATTTAACAATTTTCATTTTTATCCGGTTTCATTTCGCTGTGATATTAAAAAGTAAACAATGAAAAAACGTGATCCCATCATGATTGAGCAATTCATACAAAAATATTATTGTAGTGTCACAAGAATCTGATCAAAATAGTTTTGCGTATTATCTAAGGTCAGATTTTCTTCTGGTTGTCGACCGATATTTTCTAAATTTGATATTGTATCATTAAGTTCAATTATAAGAGCCATGATAGATTTCATTTCTAATCTAGCTAGATTATTATTATCGGCTATTAAATGATCAACGATTGTATGAACCGATTTATTCATATACACAAGTTGTGACTCAATTTTGTAGATATAATTACGATTTGTCATATTGAAATTACAGGTTTGTATTACCTTGTACTAATCGTTGTTATCTATTTTTTTAAGATCATCGCCTTTAATATATTTATACAGGTTACAATTCCTATTTATGTACGTGTGCGTAACGTAGGTGTTAACAAAATGCGTCAAAAGAAGTCCCGCCTCCATTATTTTATTGTCAAAGTAAATACCTACTCAACTATATGACAATCATTCGAATGTTGTAAAAAATATTATTTTGCCCCCTTTTGCGTTTTCTTTTTATTCATATTTTCTTCTTCCGATAAAATAATATTATTGAGAAAAAAATACATGTGCTTATTACTTATATTTTTACATTCTTCTCACCGGTATTTTTTTATTTTTATTCTGTAACAATATAAACGTCGGATATTAATACGTATCAATATTGATATATTACCATTGATATTTTCGATATCGATAGTAATAGAAGAATCAAATGAATAGAAGTAAGTTCTACAAGATATTCATATTTCTGTTTTTTCCTATAATAAATAATCAAATATAATATGATCTTGTCATAGAGCATGCAAGTTTTGACATTTTTAAAATATCATGAAAGTTATGTTTTTTTTTCTCTGTCATCATTTATGTATCTTCTAAAACTAAATTATATTTGTTAAATAATTCATTAATCTTTTGATTAAATATTGTCTGTTGTTCATTATGGTCAAGATCAAAATCTGCTTCAAATATTGTTGTTTTTTTATAATTTCGTAAAATATCTATTGCAAATAAACCAAAAATTTGAATATTAATTGAAAGTAATGTTCGTATACATGCATAAACAATAGAGAATATTTTAGTTGTATTATTAATAATTAAATTTGATTTAATAATAGAAATAATTCGTTCAGTAAAATATGGAATATGAGAATATTTATTTTCAAAATATAAAATAAGATCACTAGCTTGTTCTCGTACAATCCATATTGTTGAATAACTCGTCAAACTACTTTGATCTATCATCAATGAAATATTATCAGTTTTTGGCATATCAAATATGCATACAAGACAAGATAATAATGTTGGAATGATTGAATGAAGATATTTATCAAATGAAATAAATCTATTTATTGTAAGCATTTTTAATATTGATAAAAATCGAATAATAAAATTTATATCATGTAGATGAATATTTGTTTGAATACCTTTGGCAATAAATAGAAGAAGACGAGGTAAAAGAGGTTGTAAAGCAGCATCTGATGAAAAACAATGAAAAGCATTTGTACATTGTTTATCTGTTCCATTAAAACATGATTCAGTTAATAATTTAAAATATAATTGTTGTTCTATGCTTAATTCATGTGCAAGACATGTTTGAGATGGTTGGAATGATGATACTATGTCATTATTTGTATGAAAACGACGTATGGGCACATGTCGGGGGTGAATTGGTTTGATAGTTAAATTATTCTTTGTTAATGGATGAACATGATCTTGAAGCTCATAATTCCTATTGCATAAAGATTTAGTATGACAAACTGATATTCAACATGATTATTATTATCTATTTCAAAATAACCTATGTTCCATTGTTTTTTGAATAAATTTTCATGGGAACATAATAGAAATCAGCGATTTTCAACATATCAAGAGAGAAGATCCTTGTCCATGGAGATATATAGAAATTCAATTGACCAGCAATTGACTAATCAGGTGAGTTCTTCCTGAAGATTTTCGAAAACAAAATTCTGAAACTATTTTTCTTTCGGTCGATGCAAGACTAATACTCCTAGTTTGTTTCTTTCGAGAGTTATAAGACTTTTTCTGAGACCTTTTGTTTCAGCTAATTCGTTTGTAATCATCAGGAAAAATAGCTAGACAACGACTATTCAACATTTATACTTTCGAAATGTCGAATTCTTCACTACATAATTGAACTCAGCACGTTAAATTATCCTTGCTCAGCTGCTTTTTCAATTGATTCGAAGTCAATTGGCTTAAATCAGGGGTTTCAAGAAAAGTCTTATAAGTCTCGAACAAAAGAAGCGATATATTTCGATAATTACGGATCTTCTTTCTTGAATGATTACAAACACAGGTCTTTGTGATGTTTCTATCAAATGTTACTCAAAAAATAGTTGAGCACATTATATTTTAAAATGAATAGTGGTTTACTTTGTTTTAGTTGAACTGGCCATTTCAAAAACTTTTTTTAGTAAAGAAGATTTATTAATAAGTTCTGATGGTACTATCTTTCTATCCATAGTTTTTTGTTGTTTTTTCTCAAATGAATTTTCTTCAATGAAATTTGGAAGTGGATTTTCAGGTATGACCGGTTGTTCTCCATCAATAGCAAGCCAATGAATTGTAAGTTGAAGTGTATCGATGTTGGATGATATTTGATCTGTTTGATTGAGTAATGATAAAACAGAAATATTGGTTTCTTCCGATTGTTTTATATGGTTAACAAGATTACTATATCGATGAATATATCGAGCATCAAGTGCAGTTTGAAAATCAATAGCAAGAAGACGAATACGTTTACAAACACGTGCATAAGTACGTGTTTCAAGAATAAGACTTCGAACAAGAAATAAAATTTCAATATTAAGTTCTTGAATACATTCACGTGAAAGTGAAATAGATCGATATTGATTCCACCAATCATCAGGCAAGGTTTCTAACCAAATCATAATGATGATTCATTCTAATTAGATTTCTTTCTCTTTACATTGATGATTCCTAATCATTGCTTCGACTGTCCTAGACTTGAATATTATAAAATTTTGTTTCATTAAAATGTTTTCAATCATGTTCCTTGTGGCTATAATTTTAACTAGAAAAATAATTCTTCATAATTTTGTCACCTCATATCCATCATTTTTTGCTTGATAAAATCAAGATAAAATACTGTAAAATAATAGCAAACAAAAGTTATCAAAATTTTATAATTAACAAATATTCACGATGTATATACTCATATTTTTCTTCGATTTAACACATTAGAGCACCAAAGAAAAAACCATTGTTGTTGATTTATTTCAAATTCGTCAAGAACACGACTGTCAGAAATGAGTACGAGAGATAAACGAGTTTCGAATTACATATCAACAATCAAAAGATATGAGTATATGATATCAATGATCTATTGGCGTCAATTGTCATTCGCAATAACGATAGCAATCGTTGTCAATATGGTTCTGCTAGTTATTTATTTGTTGAAGATGAATATCAAAATAATTAAATAGGTTTTTCCTATTTACCTATCAACATAAGTAAATCAAAGAAGATCTTTGCTTAGTGTCATCAAAAATGTAAACCTATGAAAAAGCAACCGATGTTTGATCAAGTTCATGATTGTGACAAACTAATAATCACACAACATAGAAAGAATCGTGAAGCAATATAGATGATGCTTCGACCTTAGTTTCAAAATGATATGAAAAAATTTATTTGAATTTGAAAGTAAAAAACCAGAGATTCAAAAGATGTTTTTAGATAATATACGTCCAGAAAACCGTCCGCTTATTCTATCAAAAATCATAGTTGAAAATTCATTATTGATTTATTGAAAGACGAAATTAGAAAATTCAAACAAAAATAGAATTAAAGCAACACTAGAAAACTTCAAGTATAAAAGTCTACAATTGATCATCAACATTTTTTTTTCAATTTTTTCTTAGTAGATTTATTCTTGTCATAATGAAAGAGTACGTTTTTATTTATCTAGCAATTATTGACATTTATCTATGAGTTGATTGAAACAATAAACAATATAAAATATTTCTAGAAGCTGCTGCGTCATCTATTTTTTTTTCTTACTTATAATGACGCAAGAAGTAATCGCCATCTATTTGGCTACACCTGAGTAATCTAACTCTCTTGTACAAATAAAAGGTAAGGTATATACTTTTACTAAATATTTACACTCTACATACAGAACGAAAATAGTCGCACAATTTTCATGGCTCAAGGATATCTTCGTGTAACTATAGTCGAAGCAGCAAAACTTACTGACAAAGATAAAAGAGACTTTAATGATCCTTATGTCGAAGTATATATTGATGAAAAAAACAAACAAAAAACTTGTGTACTTAGAGATGTGGAAAGGCCTATATGGAATGAAACATTTGAATTGTATTTAATGACCTTTTTCTTTTTATTTGTTTTTCATTCTTATTAAAATTCTATTTTTCTATGTAGTGTTTTATGGCCAAGTAATGAATATCTTTATATAGATGTCTATGATGACAATCAAGGCAAGAAACCAGATTTAATTGGTTCAGCAAAAATTTCTCTTGATGATGTTATTAAAATAGGACATTTTGATGATTGGGTTAAATTACCTGGTTTTCTCGGTTTTGGTAGCCATGGCGATGTACACATGCGTATGAGTTTTGAACGAAGATCAGTAGACTAATATTTACTAATTTACTGATTCCTTTTTTTTTTAAATATAATTTAAAGAAAAACAATAAAGAACAAGTACGATCTTCTCGTTTTTCTTAGTCATCACCACAAGGTCCATTATCAACTGGTGAACTACATGCACCACTATCCGATGAGGAAGACGACGAATCTGTATCAACATAACTGTCATTATCAGCTGTTGATGATGCTCGTAAATTGTTCATTCGATTACGTAATGCAACAACTGTATGAAGAGCATATTTTCGACTATGATGATGAGTACAACTCATTCGTCGAATATCAGTATTACTCGAATAACAACAATGTGTTATTAAACGTGAAGGTCGTTCATTATGATGATAATGATTTCGTTGACCTTTATGTTGATGAACTGTTGTTGTTGGTGTTGATTTTAATTGTTGAATTGTTTGAATTTTACTATAAATTGAAAGAAACATTTTTTTTAAATCATGATCAGCTCGACGAATTTCCGACTAGAAATAATCAAATAAAAATAATGATTTCTTTGTTTTTCCTTTCTATTTCTTACTAATTCTTCTTGTATAACATCAAGAATACTTCGCGATGATGAAGGTACTTGTTCTTCTTTGACATTAGTTAATGATTGATCACAAAGTTGACTTGTTGATTTTGATAAATATTTTTTAGATGAATCTAATGTAATTGATTTTTCATGTATTTTTGAGTTTGATGATAATGATGATGATGAATTAGTTGGTATGATTATAACTGATTTTGACCTATCATTATCAATTAAATTTGATGTATTCATTAAGAATGAGGTTGTTTGGTCAGCCGGTATTTGTTGAGGAATAGTTTGATTGACTAGAGATAGAGTGGATACAGTAGAAATAGATTCAGTTTTTTGTTTAGACAAAATCAATGATGGTAAAGGTAAACTTGGACGTGAACAAGCTGATTCATAAGTATTTAAACGTTCTTGTATAATAGGTGCTGTCGTACGTCGACGTTTCGTATATGAACTTGTAGATTCAGATGATGAACATTCAGATGATGAAAAAAAACCTGAAGTAGCACTTGATGTTACATCAGATAACGGTGTTATTGTTGTTGGAATTTCAGATAATAATCTTAAGACACAAGATGATGATGATGATGATGATGGAGTGGATGATGATGAAATTTTATCGATTATTTCTATTTCTGATGGATGACGACTATAAAATTTGGCATAAAAAGAACGATCACGTGTGGATGAAGGAAAATACATTCTATAAATAAATAACAAAGTGTGGATTACGTAAGATCTGTCATCTAGCTTTAAGCCAATTATGACGACACTCCTCTAAGAATAACATATATCACTATTGTATGCATACTTTGATTGATGTAATATGTACATGGTCCATTCTTTCTCTTGTTAGTACTGACTCGGTAGTTTTACTATTGGGGTGTAAGCTTGTTTTAATACAGAAGAAGCGAAAGAGAAGCTCAACATATGAACGCATGCCTTCAATCTACTACCTGCAGAGATATGGTGAAGAGGGTCACCATCAATTCACTTTCTTTTTTATAATGAACATTGTAGACTGAAGGGTGAAAAAAGAAAAAGGAGAGAATTGGACGTTGTCATCTAATAACTATGAAATACTCAACAAGAAGCAATCAATAACTGTTTTATACGTGTCTTCATCCAAATAAATATATATATATACGTATATATATATGTATGCATATTTGTGTAAAATATGCAACTACACAGAACACATAAGTACCGTACAATTTACAATTATGGGTTGTTGGTAACGATAGTATTGAATACTTGTGCGTCTAGTTAATGGGTCTGTTCTCTGTATATAGGTGTGTATGTGTGCGCATCAAAGAACAGACGTGAAACCATTATTACCGGATCCTTTTACACTAAAAATTCAATAGAAAAAGGAGAGCTCGCGTGGCTTCATCTGCCATACAGAAAGAGAGACGACTGTGCTCACTCAGTCTTTTTTTGCTTGTTGTATGTTTCTTGATGCCTACCCTACCTACCTTACTTGCCTCTAGTAAAGAAAAAAAAAAGAAGAGAACGAATATACTTTTCCTTTCTCTTTCTCTCCTTCTTTTATGGTAGTCTGATCCGATGAACGATAGAAAGATGATGGTGAACGATGTCAAGTTAGACAGAGGCATGCAAAGTGTCGACTGTCACTATCGGTCAACAGACGGACAAATTGAAGAGTTATATCATTTATGGATTATAATGTCGACAATAACGATAAAATATAAAACACATTAATTACTAAGAAGTAACGCTTCATATGTATAAAACTTACGATTAATGGTATCTAACCAGTCATACTTGAAAAATGTGGCAAGGACATTATTGTTAAATAATGACGAGTAACGCAAGAGATCGAGATTATAAAATGAATTTTCTCTTCTTTTATTCATATATTTACTTAACAAATATTTTCTTTTGTGTTGTGCTCATTTCTTTTCTTTCACTTTGGTTACTCTTAAATAAATTGCAATTCGTTTTGTTATTTCTTTTATTTCCAACGTACAAACACATATGTACAAAAAAGTCATCATTCAATCAATAGAACTACCATCTTTTATACGGCAAAAAAAAAATTGCCTGACATATTAAGGTTCACTCTTACTGATTCTTTATTCACGCTGTCCTTGTCAATTTTCAGAGTTAAATCAATAGTTGACATAATATTATCATAAAATTTTTATTGTACCAATTCTGTCTTTTCGCACATTATAATTAGTTGATGGTAATGGTTCGCATACTATTTATTTAAATCATAGATGTGTAGATTTGTTCTTATTTTAAATAATCTTATGCACTCTTCATCGACAGTTAAAGTCACTTGTTGACAGAATTAACCAATAAGACATACTCGATCGTGTTTTAAGTTTGAAACGTATCTTTCGAGATTTCAGACAAATTTATATTTATTTTTTCGAATACAACAACATTCTAATATACAAATGTCATCTTCTTTTTATTTACGAACAGCTTGCCTATAAACAAATGTACATATCAACAGTACAAAAATTTTCATTTATGAAAATATGTGTAAGAAAAAGCTTGGATTGAGATGTAGTTGTTGATTGTAATTTTTCAAATAATGTTGAATAATATCTCAAATAAATTATCAAACATTATCATTTAAAGCCTAGGAGAGAATATGAATTTATGATATTAACAAATATTTTTATTAACTATCTACTTATATACATAAGTACTACACTCTTGCATGATGATTAGGCAATCGTAGGAAAAATTTTATGATTAAAATTATGCTTTTCGATACTCTTTAAATTGATTCATTTGACTTACTAATAATCGATACGAAATTTAATCAAGTACCTAAACATAATGGTAAAAGAATAACGAATAAGAAAAACGAAATCATAATATTTTATCGGACCAACGTCAATGGCAATAAAAGCAATATAGTTGTCTAATACAAAAGTTTCGATGACACAACAAATACTCATATAAAAATATCATCACAATATGTGTTGAATAACTTGAAAATAAATTTGCATTAGAATGCGAAAAGAAAGATGTATATTTCGAGAAAAAAAAAACAGATTGAATCTAAAAATGAAAACAAAAAAAAAGATCAGAAACGAATTTCTTATTCACTTTTTAGTCTTGTAGAAATTAGAAGATTTTGTTCTTGTAATAATTGTTTGTTCAGTTTTAGATCTAAACGTTCAAATTTTTTATAATATTCATCATTCTTATCGATATTTCTCTTCAAATCATTTTTATATTCTTTACATAATTTTTTCATTTCATCACGAATTGTTATTATATCAGATATTTGTTTTTCTAATTCATTGATACGTTCATTTTGTTGTTGATTTTCTTCACGTAAACGTTCATTATCTTGTTTAATATGATTTAAAACAGATATATCAACATTTAAACCAGTTTGTTGACGAAATGTTAATTCTTCAAGATCACGTGTTAGTAAATATTCACTGTTTGAACGGGCAGTTAAAAGAAGTACAGGTTCTTGATGACCATTTAACTTTGTTAATTGATTTACAGTTATTTCATGTATATCACAATGCGGTAAAAGACATATATCAATATCATCAAGTTGAGTTTTTGATAGAAGCATACGATGTAAAGAAAAAAATTCACGTATTAAATCATCAATAGGTAATGTCTAATAAAGAAAAGAAATTTGTCAAAAAAAACAAAATTTATTAATAAATAAGATATACTTTTGAACCATCAACAAGTATTCGAGCAGTTAATGGTTGTTCTGTATAGACAAGACGTATTGGTTTATAGCCTTTTTGTAGACAATCAGTTTCATTTCGATCAAGTGGTCGAAGCCAAGTTGATCTTGGAGAAGAAAATATTTTGTAGATTAATTAAAGAAAATAAGATATCGCTTACTTACGAATTCGATGCCATGGTAAACAATATCAAAATAAAACAAGAACTAATTAATTCAGTAATTGACACTTGATGCATTCATTCAATTAACGAATAGAAAATAGTTCATGATCTCTTTCGCGAGTATAGTTATTCAATATTTCATTTATTAAATTATTGAAGGTTATGAAATATTTTAGCAGAAATTAACATTAGAAAATGCAAAATGTCATATCAAGAAAAAACCAGATGGCGCTAAATAATGATTCCATCTGAAAACACACAATGATTTAGAGAAGTTAATATATGAAGGATTGAAGGGAGTTTAGTCCGAACCAAAAATCCTAGCAACGTCACTATTTTCCCCACATATATTGATAAGTAACGTTCATCGATAGTGTATTCACTGAACACTAGACGGATCGAGCTGAGATATGGATATAGTTACATGTTGGTATAAACGTACATTAAAACTAAAATATATTTGTACAGTTGAGATGATAAGTAAAAACGATTTTTTTCATAACAGAATACTTGTTTTTTTGTGTTAGTAAGAAAAAGTATTTGAATACAATAGATTTGTCTCATAAAGATCAATTTATACTTGAGGCATGGATACGTTTTTTTCTTACATAAATTCTATCACATCTTTTGATTGTACGACTATTGTTATTGAAATCAATTTATTTCTTTTTAATGCCATCATTAAAATATTATTTTCAACTTACAACGATAATTGAATACAAGAAATTTAAGTTTTCCATCGTATATTTATGTAATTCAATTTGACACAGCTAGTATGAATGATGATATGCCATCATAAATCGTATTGCATCCGCTGAAAGATCTGGTGCTTCAAGTTTGAAAATATTATATTGAAAATTTAATTTGACAAAAACTCGTAACTTATGAGAACAAAAATGTATAATTGATTTAATAAACTATATGTTGGATATTGACTTTGATAATATTTTAGTATAAGTATGTTTCATTGAATATAACATTGTTAGCTGATGCAATTTCTTACCTAGAAATTTTTATTAGTAATTTATATGCTTATTTGTGTATTACCATTAGTCATTTTGTTAATGTTGTCAAATAAAATGTATTGATATTTAATTATTAAATTATCATAAATGCTCGTCACTCCTAAAGGCATCCCAGATCGAACAAACACATTCATCAATATCGATAAATACACGTATATTGACATATTCCATGGCTCAGTATTGCGAGTATATTTCTTTGTATATGATACAGAGAAATACAATCATAGTACCGAGTCATGTAATACAGCAACATACGGTCGTATGCGGTGAACTATGGATTTCATATTCTTTTTATTCAAAATTAATGAATTACTCAATGGTTTAATTTAATTAATAATGTGACTTATTTTTTTCATTCATATTTTATTCAAAACGTCTACATATGACTCAAAGGAAAAGGCCACTATCTCGTCCTATTTTATTCCAGTAATGTTTTAGAATTAATTTTTATTTTATGAATAATTGTGAAATAAAATTTAAAAATAGAATTTTCTGATGACACATTTTTGCTGCTAAAATAATCCACTGGAACATGTTGTTGTATGAGATCTATTTTCAGAAATACAGAATCAACCTTTCATTTTGAAAAGAAATTTATCAAGAAACATAAATCTATGACTAAAGTATGTCATAATTAAAACGAACAGTAATTATAAAACTGTATTGTAAAAAAACTTTCATTTGAATATTACACAATTTACTGATCACTTATTGGCAGTTCCTAAAAATAATGACACATTAACGCATAACGTTCTGTTGGTCACTGGAGTGAGTACTTGTAGAATGATTGCAGAAAATAAAAAAAAAACATGAGATTTAAAAACGATCAGAATATTTCTTTGTAATGAACCTCATCGACTATTTATCAGTAAAAGAATCTATTTTTTTCATTACTCCGCCTTGGAAATATCGAGTCTATAAAATTTATATAATTTTGAAAAAAATCGAAAACATCGAATTTTTTCACAACGAAATACTCTCTATTTACAGTCAATAAAGATCTTTCAGGATTTCTGTGTAATATAAACCGATAAAGAAGTTCACTAGATAGTTAGATGGGTGTGGGTTCGAATATGTATTATCAATCTGAATTCATGCGGAAGTGAAATAGAATTTATTATGAATTAAATATCCTCAATGGTTATAACAAAGTATATGTTTATGTAATAAGATGTGTCAAAAGCACATGTATTCTTGTAACATTACTTTTCATCGATTCACTCGTTCCTTTTTTTGATTACTGCATTAATATGGAATTGATGCTGTTTTTGTTCAGTCCATAAAATGATAAAATAAAAATAGTATCAAAACTTGGTATGTCCTTTAATTCCCTTTGTTCATCATGCAGTCATTGAATCAAACAAATGACCTTACATAAAGATAAAAACATTCAATAAATCAGATCACATCGTTAGTATATTAGACAGACTAGTATTATATTTAGAAAGCTATTTTATCACTGAATCTTCTGAAACTACGGTAAGAGACTTCATTAAATTCTCACATACTTCTGTTTTAGTAAAAATTCATATACTAAATTGCGCCATCTTAAAATTTGATTTTGCTCATTACAATGTAAAATATCAATTTTATTAAATAAATAATTGATCATTCATTCGATAATTACAATCTTGAGAAAACACTATACAATATTTTTAATATGAAAGTTTTTTATTGTTTTCAATTTTCTGTTACTAGTAATGTTCTCAATTATTACTGATTGAAAGAACAAAACTTCTTTCAATAGGTTGAACTCGATTAGCATTTCTTTTTGCACATCATTGTTTTAAATATACATCGCATAGAACAAATTTCAATTGTCGACGAAATCGAGCAGAAGATGTAAGATAAATATAGAAGCTATCCAAAATTAAAAGAAAATATTAATTCCATAAATCGAAAAAAAATAATAATATACTCTGTTGACTCACGGCATAGTTTATAAAGAAGAGAATCGTAAAGACATGATATACTAATCGAAGCTGTTCTTGAACAATGGAATCATTGCTACGCCATGATATTATATACCGAATAATATAAAGAATAAGAAACGGAATTATAGTGATAAAAACGCCAAGAATTTTCATTACAACCATTGCAGTTAATTGTTGCTCTAAACGTAGCCGTATAATATGTACTTTTCTCTTGGTTATAGTACGAACCTTAAGAAATGCAATAAAGCCAGCTATACTCATTATGAAGATAGGTATAAAACCGTCAATGACAGGTAAACTAACATATATTACATATTTAGAAAATGGTCCATTGTTATCATTGGGACGACATGTTGTTGTATTTGTTCCAGATAATGGTTGTATATCATAAAAAACAAGAAATGGTATGCCATATAAAATGGAAAGAAATATAGAAATTACAATTAAACGATGCATACATTTGAGATTGATAGCTTGACGTCTTTCATGCATTGATGTTGACATATATTGATCAACAGCAGCAAAACATATAATCATGTGTGAGAGTAAACTGAAGATTTGTTCAAAAGTTATTAGTATTTTGCATGGAAATATTACATTCACGTCACCGTAGTCTTTTAAGATACCACTCTCGGATATTGATAATACCAGTAAACAAACAGCACATGATTTTTATGAAATGTTTTTAAACTTATGAAAAGAATAACGTTGAGAATATTACCAATCATACCAAAAATAAAAATAAATAATCCGGCAGAGATATCAAAGTAACGAATAACTAAATCCAATGTCGTAACGAAGTCTGTTGTAGATTGCATTTTTCTATAATTAATATGAAATAATTTGATAAGTGTATCTCTGTTAAAGCCGTCCTTCGCCTCAAAAAATGATCGTGACTCAAATGCATTCGAATCTCATGAAAACTTTCAGGATATATAGAAGCTATGCTAAAATGTTCATCCTTATGTTACAAAATTCGAGGAAAACATTCAATAAACAAGGATTAGAAGTAGCTCATTCGATAACTTAAAATTCTCCGAAAGCCTACACTCTATAGACTTATTCTTTTTTTGTTTTGAAAGATCATATCAGGATGCTAGGCAGGACAGAGTTCTTTCTTTTCAATCTCCCTTTCTCAGTGGAGAAAAAACGTGGAAAATTTGAAATATCGAAAAATTCTAAAAGAAAATACATCTCTTGTTGTAGAAGTCTTCTTTTCTATAATAATAACGAAGCTTCATTTAAAAAAAGAAACCCATCATGCTCTGCATCTTGCCATGCTCTCTTAAACAAAAACGAGTAATTGACTACAAAAAACCTCTTTTGAGAATTCTGTGATGCGTTGTCAGAAAATCAGAAATAGAAAAAAGCAAAAAAATCTTTCCACTTGTTCTTAAAAAAATAGCATATCTATCAACTAGAAGAAGACAAAAATCATCAAAACGTTTGGCAAAAAATGAAGCGCCTAATAAAATCATATCCTTTATGAAGAACTTGACTTCGGACTATTTTATCATGCATTTATCTGAATAAATTAATCTTTTTTTTTTAAGAAAAGAGGTCAAAGTATCTATAAAAATATGCAAACATATACGTATGTCAAAAAGTTCATTCTTTTAATCTTTGCATTATGTAAACGATTGCAAATATAGTAAGACACTTATTATGCGAATAAGAATTACTTTATAATGAAAAACAAACAGACTCTCACAGTCAAATAAAGTGATCATAAGTCTAGGATAACAAACGAACAAAAACTAAAATATGTTTTTTCTCATAATAGACTTGTATGAATTCGAAGTTGTAAAAAAAATACTACTATTTATTGAAACTCGGATTATATAAACCTTTAACTGAGAGCAAACGGTAGTAGTAATACTGTAAAACCAAGTGCTTGTGCATTGTTTTATAAATAATATATATTACTTTTTCAGGGTTCGGCACTATTGGGCATTCGTCTGCTATAAAATTGAATATTAATGAAAATCAACTATGTTACACCTAAGTACAAAATTTTAACTCTAGTTTATCCTTGATACAAAGCAAAAAAAGATTCATCCCTTCAAAAATACGACGACAATAAATAGTCTGTTGATGGATAAGAGACGATTTACTATGATGCTTCATGTTTTTCTTAAAAATAGAATTATTTATGTCAATGCCAGAAATGTTCATACTTTCCAAACTTAAGTTTTAATGTGATCATTATTTTTCACATGTTCAAATCAATGAAAATAGTCAATATGAATAAATATTCGTTTTTACCAACTTTATAGCATTGAAACAAATTAAATTTAATAGATTGAGTTTGAAGAGACTGACATTATAATACTTGAAAGAAAGTAAAAATATTGAGAAAAAAATAATATTATCTTTTCCACTATATGCTACAATAATTTTTGTTGATGTATGAAATTACATCGGTGCTTCAATTAATGCGGTACAACGTACAGCATTTATGTATTTCTGCAAGTTTTTTTAAGTAAGATACAAAGCAACTTATAGCGACTAGTCACAGCTTCTAATGCTTTCTCGACTTTCGCCTCTAAAATCCGTATTTTGTGATGCGATAACCTCGAGAATGACACATCGTCTAATGCTCATTGACATGTCATTGGGAGCTTTGGATTCTCTATGTGATATATAATTTATCTGATTTCCGGTATGATGTTTTGTTCACTCAAAGTAAAAGCTAGATATTATATCTTATCGATGAATTCTTTTTTCAATTATGTCGATATCATGAAGTGAGCCCAATTTGTGATCTTAGCAATGATTAATTATTGGTAGCACTAATGATAATCCAGTAGCGGACAGTTTCTAACAACTTTTTCTTTGTTAATTAGCAGAACTAGATGTGGACTATTAGTACTGGTGTTCGGTGTAGTTGTGCAGGACGAAATGAGAGTGAAAAATATCAAAGTTCTTTTTTTTTTCTCTTAAAGATTTGTACAGCACTTTTATTTGAGCATTTTTCATACATCTGAAGTACAAATTCTATACAATTCAGTAGAGTATTCTAATCTAAAAAAAAGATAATTCACATCAATTGAGTTTTTAAGAATCAGTAAATGCTTGATTCTCCGAGTATGTCATATAGTTCAATTTCTTATGAAATTTGATCTCGCATTGTTAAACTGATCGTTCTTCAATTTTGTGATCAGACTCCGAAGATTACATGTTGCCTAAACATCATTCAAAACTTTGTTGAAGTACTTGTGCAAATAATATTGAATCAAATATATCTATCATAGATGATATGGATGTTTCAGTTTTCTCTTAACCCACACACTAATTTTTATTATTATCAAGAAGTAAAAAACAATAAAACCAACCAAAGTGCCCTTGTACAAATAATCATGAATACTAGATTACTTTAAACATACAATAGTTATAATTTGCACACACAGCACTGCGTGCATATGAGAGCGCTATATCTAAAGTAAAATAGTACTTGCATCACTTGAATCATTTTAGAAATGAGGAAATGATTCAGTTATATCACCTAATAGATAACAAAACATTATTATGGTTCACTATCGTTTAATGGTCATTTTCTATTTGTTATTTAGATTCAACCAATAATAATTGATGAAAAGCCACATCTATCGGTCGGGTTTCTTCATCCAATGTTTTTTTTCAATAAAACATATGATTATTAGGCCTTAAGCACACCACGGGGATTAAAAGTGAATTAAGAAATGTTATTGGTGTTGCTGCATGGAAACACCAATGGCATTTTGTAATTCATTTTTCATTCTTATAGTGTATTTTATGCTTTATTCACTTATTTATAAATAATGATTTTGATCACTTAGAGTAATCAAAAATCATGTTAACATCCTCAACTATGGAAGTATCAACACAACATATTCTTATTAATGGTATGACATGTCAAAGTTGTGTAAGAAATATTGAAAATACAATAACTAAATTAAATGGAATTCGATCAATTAAAGTATTAATAAAAAGAAATTTTATTTATTAGTAAATAGTAAAATTTCATTTGTTTTTGTAGGTTTCACTTGAAGATAAATTAGGAGTTGTTGTTTTTGATTCAAATGTTCTTAGTATAAATGATATTATTGAACGTATTAATCAAATGGGTTTTCATGCTGAGCTTAATTCTACAATACAAAATGACAATCTTGATGTTGAGCTTGGAGGTATATCAGATGAAAATATTCCTATTGCTACTGAACGTATATCATCAATAAATGGAGTCTTAAATGTTAAATTTCCTTTCAAAAATGATAGTATTCATGTACAGATATCTTATGATAAAAATCAAATAGATTCCTATACACTTTATCAAAAGCTACAATCGATTGGTTATAAAGTAAATCCAAAATTAGAAAACATTTCTCAAGCTTATTTAAGTATAAAAGGAATGCATTGTAATTCATGTGTTGTGAATATAACAGAAACTGTTGAAGATCTACCTGGTATACATCATATTAAAGTATCACTTAATGATCAATCAGCAAATGTTTTATATGATGCAAATATCATTAAGTTATCAAGTATTATCAAAGAAATTGAAAGTTTAAGTTTTCAAGTTTCTATTTCAACGACAAATGATGAAAACAAGTTACAAAGTATTCATATTAGAATATAAGAAAAATAAATTTTGGTTTTCTTTTTGTTTAGATCATAGCAATAGCTCGAATACATCAATATTATCAGGTTAGATATTGAAAGGTTTTAAACCAAAACATCATACTATTGACGCATGTATACGCAGTATCTAGAGGTAAATGTCAATGGTATTTGACATGGGACCATACAATTGATTCTAGATTAAATTTTCAGGCTACAATAAAAAATGAAGAACGAATGAAATGAGACATTTAGTTATACATTAAAAAATCGAATTGAGAAAGTGCACAGTGATCATTGTATGATAGATACTAGAGTGTGTGTTAAGTTGCTTTAATATTGCATATATATATATGTGTCGGTACAATATTTAATTTTTGTTTTAAAATTAATGTTAAATTTGTGAGTTTCAATTGAAGTTTATTCATATAAAATCTTAATCCAATAATGGGTTTAGCATAAAAATATCGTCTAATCCGAATTTGATTGCGTAGTGACAGGTATGTTGATTGTTTTTTTCATTCGTTCTTAATGACTCCTTACTAGCTCAAATAATCTTTTATTTTCTGTAAAGAAATACATAATAGTCTGTCACATCTGCTATATTTCAATGAAAAATTCCGAAAAAAGAAATTCAAAAAAGTACCTAATCAGCATGATTCACTATAAAGGAAGTATTATATATCTATTAAAGGAAAAGGATTGACGCAATCAATAAAATCATATCGTCATAATTTGCGAAGATAAATATTAATATTGACTTAGTGATGACATCAGTATTTTTTTCGAGATTGATTGATATAAACCTCTTAACATAAGAGTAAAAAAATATTGAAGTCTGATCAAAGCTCTTGAGATAAAAGGTTTATTATCATTTTTCAATAATTCATTGAGTTCAAATTGAGCTATGAAAAAAAATGAATATTATCATCTACTTG